TTCACTGGCACAGAAAATTAACAATGCATTATATCTGAAAAATTTGAAGACCCAAAAGCTCAAAAATGTCAATTCCTCAAATATTCCATGTTCTAGATTTCTAATTCCTTTTGTAACTTTCCACAGAATCTTTTTCCATAATTTTCATTCATTTCTGAAGCTATGAAGCTCACAATTGAACACATTTTCTATTGAGTTTTCCTGTGTGCTGAGTCAAACGGTTTCAAATGATACAATTACTTCATCAAAAAACAAACAGGCATTTAACAAACACCCTCTCCATATCCAGTCTGTACTAGAATCTGTGGGATCCAAAGGCACAGTTGTTCTCAAGCACAAAAAAGAGAATCTACTACATTCTGAATTGCATTTGAAGGAAATAAAATAATTTCACTATATATACATTATATTTTCTTTCTTAAAACTACCGCATATATTCCTGATTAATGTTTGCATTTCAGTACACTGGGATCCCAAACAACATTTTATCCTACCCTAATTACCTTATAATTGTGGTTCAATATATATATTGATACCCTACATTTATTTTTTAATAAATCTCATGCTAAGACTTTTTTGTAATATTGAAAAATTTTGTAAAAACAATATTCACACTTGGTTTTAAAAAATAAGATAAGACAACAATCCTCCTCACACACAATTGCAATACTCTCAAAAAGGAAAAGTCTTTTTAACCATGTCTACTTTTAGAAAACTAAATAATAAACTTAGTTGAAAATGTAAAATTTGGATAATGAAACAATGAATATATCTTGCTATTTATCACTTAGAGATGTGCTTGACTCTAATCTATGTAAAGTGAGATTTTAGTTCCTCTACTGTAGTACTTTTCACAGCACCTCTGTAATTTTGACGATCATATTATTAGTTTAAGTTTTGTTGGTTTAAGTTGGAAATCTCTAGTTACACTTCTCTTTCTTGTCCAATAAATTTTAGTCAGTTTCTTGACACCACTCTAGGTAGAATAAGACTGTTAATGCCTCTACCCATCCTTCCATTTTTGCTACTGTCTTTCACCTTCCACCTCTGTCAGCTAGCTATACATTTACTTTTACTTTGTCAAGGTTGTCAAGTGAACTGTTAAGTATTTGAGCTAATAAAAACATGTTTTTATGGGTGCCTGGGTGACTCGGTTGGCTAAGCATCTGCCTTCGGCTCAGTCATGATCTGGCGGTCCTGGGATCCAGCCCTGCATCGTTGGGCGGGGGGGGCGGGGGGGGGTTGCTGCTCAGCGGGAAGTCAGCTTCAGCCCGCTCATGCTCTCTCTCAAATAAATAAATAAAATCTTTAAACAAAAAAAAAATGTTTTTATATTTAAGTCAGATTGAGTTGAGTTTTCTACCACAACAGAAACCGCCTTAACTTCACTGAGCACCTCCTACCTGCTTACCTGCTGGCCAGGGAAAGGGATGCTACAATTTACTTTGTGTAAATGACTCTATTTTAAAAGGACATGATTTTTTAATACATCAGTTATATTTAATTAAAGTATACCTCATAAAACAAAACAAAATGATAAGATGAAGCTCTGCAATAGTCTAAGACAATATCTTACTCAGGAAAAGCCTTTCAAAAATAAAACCCGTTGTAGAATATTATTTGAAAACAGGGGGATACACTGTTTATTTTCTAAAAGAGACACTAAAACTGAAGGAAATAGGTGTATAGTGATCCTGGTGAAAAGATTTATTGCATTTGAAATATATTCTAGGGGTTATTGTTGTAAGTATAAAGGCTACTGAAGGGTAACATGGGAAGTGACCATGACTTAAGTATAACTTATAATATGTATTTCAGTTTTTATTTAAGTCAAATATTCCTTTTTTCAGTGAGACCTCTGAGTTTTCAGAAAACACCTATAAATATATGTTTCTTATAATTTTAACTTTAAAAAATAAGTGTAATAAATCTTCCCTATTTTGTACTATACTTTTCTATACTTTTCTGCCTCTGTGAAAAAGGTTTTGAGATGCTATGCCTGGTGAATCAGATTCCTCTTCCTTTGTGAACGAAAACCACAGCAATCTCCTTCATGTTGTCCTCACTACACATTCTGTTTAAGTTATGCTCAGCTCAGCCCCTCATAAACCAGGGGTCATGTATGGTTCAAAATATGCATGTTATTCATGCATATAATAATTCACCTTAGAAAGTATTTTAGGTAGCTTAAATAAAATGTATGCATACAAAAGCTAGTAATATATAGGTGAAAAATAATAAGCCAAATACTATGTTTATTTAAAATTCACAATGAAGCAGGCCATAACTTCCTAAGTTGAGCTGTAAATTTAGTTCTGAGCTTCCTGATAGTTGAAATAAAAAGAAGTTACAAAGATTTCAATTTAGGGGAAAACAAACTTCTGCTAATACTAAACTCTAAAAGAAATTTCCCTTAGGGACATTCCCAAAATAAAATGAGGAGGGAAGAGTAGTGTGCCCATCACAAGTGTTTTCTGGAATTTTCTCCCTGTTCCTCCATATGCATATAAAAGTGTCTTGCCATAAGTACATCCCACACTGAGGAAACTCTGCATGGTCAGGTTCAAGAAATCAGAAAAACACAAGTTTTGTAAAAGGAGAGTTAGAGGGATCTGATGTTGTAGTTCACAAAAGGAATTTTCCCTCATCCATGTCAGAATCAGAAAGAAAAATGAGTGAATTGTTTTTCTAGTATCTCTATATAGATATTATTTCACTATTTCTAATAACATCATTTTCAAATGAGTAAATTGGATTCAGTGAGTTGGAGAGAAGTCAAATGGAAGTCTGATTTATCCAAGACACATAGAAATTCAGAGGCATATCAGTGATCAGAATCCGGAAGATATGAATCAAGTTATTCATTATACTCACTGATGAAACAATCTTAAGATGATAGTATCTTAAATGTAAAAACACAGAAAAAAATCATATTTTCATTAGTCATATTACCACAGATCATGTGATACAGCTTATAAAAGACCTTATGTCTCTGTACTTTAAAAAAAATGATCTTTACGAATGCTAAAACTACCCCCAAAGTCACAGCTTCTCTAATAAACACTTAAATGTATGTTAAAACTGGCAGCTCTCTAAGAATAACAGCTCTCTTCCTGCATATTAAACAACTGACGAAGAAATCATTGATGAAAAACTTCAAAAATCTCATTTAGTGGATGAAATATCACTATAGTGATGTCAGGAATATTACCCAGACAATTGATAAAATATTAATTTCCTGTAATAAATGGGTGTGGAGTCATCAATTATCAAAAAACTATCAAACACTGGTTTTGACTTAAATATACTTAATAAGTCATGTTTATTGGATTCATATTGATCGATTCTTCCACAATTTTCACTCAGAAAATGAAATCTGTGCAGTTAATTAGTTGAAAATAACAACTGCTGGTTCAATTAAACTTAGCAAATTTCACATTCTAGTTTACCATATGTACATTTGTTTGAAGTAATAATTAAACGTCTGTACTGGATTGCATATTTTGGAACAAAGTAAACAAATTACATTATGACATGGAAATATCTCTAAAAATACACATTTGATTTCCTCTTGGAAAATTAAGCACAAATGCCTTAAGTGAATCCCTAATAAATGGCTGCAAAAATTACTTGATTACATGGGTATAAATTTGACCTAACCATTAATAACTTCTACATAAAACTATGCACATTGGCAGTCAGAGGATACGTTAAATTTCTCTCCTAAAACATTACCCATTAAAAAAAGAAGACAGAGAGAGAGACAAAAGAAAGAAAGAAAGAAAGAAAGAAAGAAAGAAAGAAAGAAAGAAAGAAAGAAAGAAAAGAAAAGAAAGAAAGAAAGAGAAAAAGCTTGGGAGTGCTGCTTTGCTCTAGAATTAAGAAGCTGGAGTTTAATTCATATCTAAGTTGTGGGAAAACTGATGGGATCAAAAAATATTTCAAGTTGGAAAAATGTGCAAAGGAAATACCGGTAGGCTGCTAGTAGGCAAGTACCTTGATCCTTGCTTGTAGAAAAGCAGAGAAGGAATATATACACATTTAAGGCTGCTGTGCCCTTGGCACAATGCCTCACAAAATCTTAACAAATGCCATCTTGGTTGGATCTCACAGCACTTTGATGAGGCATGCAGAGTTGGGGATATTGTCTTTTCATAACAGAGTTAGTTATTAAGAGATTTGCTCGAGGTCAGTCCAGAATCTGGATCTTTTGACAAAATTTAGGCATGGGGTCTACGCCTAAGACACAACAGTGATTTGAAATACAAAGAAGTACGATTTGATTTTAATAAATGCAAATATGTTACTACAAACTGTTTTAATCATGGTGTAGTCCATTTTCAGTGAAGAGCTCAATAAAGTTTATGTGACCCACAATAACAATAGCTAAGTAATCCTATCCATATCAAATAAACAACTACAGAGTGACTATTATTTGCAAAGCATTGTGATTAACAGCTAGTCATTTATAGCAAGTGGTTTACTCAAGTCCTCTCTCCCTCTCTCTCTCTCTATATAGAATTTTCTATTCAGCTATTTTATCCAACCTCCCCTGAAGATAATGTGTGACTTTATTACAGAAATAAAGTTCACAATACAGATGATTTGTATATAAAACTACATTTTCACTCTTGAAACCAATTTTCTTTTAGAAAGAAAAAAGTTGGCAGGGCCATGACCACCTGCATTTTAGAGCAGGATAGACACAAACCTCTGTTTCAGATACCCGGTGTTCTGGCAAACTTACTAATACAAATGCACCAACTTGAATGCTGTCCGGTTAGACACTTTAAAGCAATGTTCTAAAAGTAAAGGCCTTAATTTGAACAGTCAATAGCGCTACAACGTGTTTGTGCAGTTTTCTTTTACATATGAACTTTCGCCACAAAAGGAGTTTAAAAGTTCAGGGTAGGGATTTAGGTGACCTACAAAAGTAGTACGTCCTGCGTTCCCATTTTCCTCAATACCTTATATATTATACAGTAATTTAAGCACCAGACCTGCCTCGATAGCCTCTCACTTTGTGACACAGCTCCGGCCGGACTTCATTTGCTCTGGGCGCCGGGATCAGGGTCCCACCTCAGGGCTCAGAGCGGTTTGTTCCCAGTGGATCAGGGCGGGTGTGTTGCCGGAGTCGTGTTCCATTGGCTACACTCTCGGGGACAGGCCGGGCTTTCCGACACTTGATTGGATGGAACTACCCCCTGTAGGCCAAGATCATTGGAGGGTGCGGGAGCCAGGGGGCGGGGCGGGTTCCCCAGGATTCTTGACCGAGCGCGCTCAGCTGCGGAGCAGGGCGCTGGGCGCCGGACCGGAGCTAGGCGGGCGGCTCCGGAGGGAGGACGGGAGGGTCCCGGCGCGGAAGGGGTCTCGAAGGGGTAGAGCGGCGCTGGGGCTGGTCGCCGGCCGCCCCTAGGGCAGTCCCAGATTCCCCCCGGCGGCGACCGCTCCAAGACAGCATCTGTCAACGCTCTTCCTCAGTCCTCCTCCTTTGGCCGGGCCGGGCTCCGCTGGCGGCGGCTGGGAAGACGCGGGACCCAGCGTGACGAGCCTATCAGCTGTCAGGCGAGCGGCGAAGCGACCCGAGGGCGGCTGGAGACACACAAAGAACGCGGTGAGCGGCGGCGGCGAAAGGGGGCGGCAGATTCGGGACGGCAACTCCCGGCCGCGCCCGCTCGTGCCGCCGCCGCCGCCGCCTCCGGGGCTGGGTCCGAGGCCGCGGAGACAATGCGGCCGGGCTCCGGCCCCGCGCGCCTCAGAGTGCGGGCGCCTGCGCTCCCCCGGCCCCTATTTGACCGTCCCTCGCCTCGCCCAGCCCCCTCCCGGTCGGCTTGGCCCCCGCCCGGGGAAGGGGCGCCCCCTCGCTCCAGCAGCCGGGAAGGAAGTCCGTCCGCGGCCGCCGAGCCCGGCAACTTGCGAGCCGGGAAAAGTTTGCGGCGCCTCCGCGGGGCGGCGCGACACGGCGCGGCCCGCCCCTGGCGTCCGCGGTCACCGCCGGTGACTTTCTGGACTCGTCGTCAGCCCGGGCCGCGCTGCGGCCAGCGGCGACTGCGGGTAGGGCCAGAGTCCGTCCGAGGGCGCCCGCGCCGGGGGCTGCGGGTGAGTTGACTTTCTGGGCGCGAGGGGTTTAAGCTGTCTGGGGCACCTGGGTTTGGGGAGAAGGCAAGGAGAGCGCCTTTAATACTTTTTTGGAGCAGGCGGGGAGAACAAATATAAGTGCGATTGCTTAAGAGTCGCTGACATGCCGCTGGCTCGTGAACCGTATCGGTGGGAACCTTTTAGGAGCCGGGGCTATTGAGGGCCTGTGCAGGGTGGGGGTTGGGAGGTGGAAAAATTAGAAGGTCGCGCACCAGCCTTGCCTGTAACTGGCTCTGCGTGACCTTGGACAAGTGACTTAACCACTTAGATCTCCTCATCCGTGATACATGAGGCTAGAGCTACATGATCTCTGGTGTCTTCCCGTTTTTTAAATCCATCTCGGTTTGAGATTTTCCTTGGGCCTCAACGTGGTACAGGAGTTATGAACCAGTAGGCCAGGATATATTTACGGGCGCCTGGATTCACCTTTCAGCCTACAGAGAAGTAACTTTTAAGTCTGATGTTTTCAAACAGTAATATCGGAAGGTTTGGGAGGGTTTTTTTCCAGTGAAAAATAATTACCCATTGTTTAAAAACACTTCTTAAAACTGATCTACTTTGCTGCAGCATTTGGAGTAGTAGGAGCCAGGCTGGGGACAGAGAACCAAGCTTCAGGATGAAGTGGCAGGTGCCTCCTGCGATCCCTTTATCCCTTCTGGATTCAGTTTAGGGGGAGAGCAAGGCTTTTATTATACATAGGAGAGAGTAAACAAGGCACGTGTTTTGTTGTTATTTTTCTGTATTGCTTCTTTCTACTGAAAACTTTTATGTGGAGGGCAGTGGGGGAGAGGGCTCTAACTTCTGAAAAAGGAAAAGAAAATGTCACTTATAACCAAAGTAAATCTTGAACTAATGTAAATCTTCCTTACAAGAACAGTAACACATAATGCAAGTACATCTTGATCTAATTTTAATGAAGGATTGAAAATAGCTGCTATGTTCAGTATCACTGATGCCAAGATGGCTCACTTACATAATCTTTGTTGGGATGTGTTAGTGACATGTATAATTTGGATAAATTATTAATGTTAAAGGTTTGGTCGGGGAATGGTACTGGAATATTTTCATCACAGGATGTGTTGCAATACAATGGAGTGTTAACTTTTGGTTATAATAATAACCTGCCCATTTTTTTTCACTAAAAAGTGAAATCAAGCATTTTCCCTAACCAAAACTCTTTCAACATTAAATGTTTGTCAGTACTGAATACAGGAGAAATTATTTTCTTCTCTCAATGATAAATTTTCCCAGTTTTTTCACTATTCATGAGCATGCCTTCTAGGAGTCAGGTGCTCCACTGGGTTTTCTCTTCTCATGGAGCTTATAACAACAAAAACTGATTTCTTTTAATGTAAATGCATAAATACACTCCATAAATATTCGCTGGATAAAATACCCAGTGCTTAGATAAAAATAATTTAAAATTCTTTTCGCCCATCCTTAGAATTATCATGTTTTAGGGGGAAGAAAGAAGGTGTCAGAGAAAACTGGCAGAAAAACTGAGCTGAATTCCAGTATCTATCCTGAAAGTTTATATTTTAAAATTAAGGATACAGATTTGGAAAGAGACAAAGACAATTGATAGGGTTTCCAGGAGAAAGATAGCAATATTGATTTAATATAATACATTTTATGACCTAACTTTCTTTGAAGAACACAAACCTTTGAAAAGGTATGTTTCTTGAATTATCAGTAGCTATTTGCATTGTGATTGAATGTCTAATTAAATGGCCTAATCATAACCATTATATTTCACTTGAGTGATATCCGATCTTTAAACTCATTGTTAAAATAACGTTGTTAAAATAACATTTTAGTGCAGTTGCATGACGAAAAGTATACCTTTTGAAATCAACTAAATATGCAATGAGAAAATTACCTCTAATCTTATACCAAATATAAAATAAGCACTGAAAATAACATCTTTCCAAGGTCTTCACTCAAGACAAATGCTATGTGTGCAGATGGGTCCTCTATGGACTACATCATGTATAAGATACTCTGATTTTCCTAAGGGGTCTCTGTAATAGTCTATTTGTTGACAAGGAAAGTAAGTCCCCAACATTTGTAAGCCTGGAAACTTCTGGAAAGCCTCTTGGCCTTATTTAAAAGTGACTACTCAACCTAAAACATAGCACTGATATTTGAACAACAAGCTGTCTTTGTAGAATGTGCATTCTCCTCATCGCAAGTTTGCTGGTTGGGCAGCCTTGCAGAGGGTTAGAGCAGTGCATCTGAGAGTGTGGTCCTTCCACCATTTGTATCAGAATCTTCTGTAGCACCTACAAAACTTCAGACTGCTGGGCAACTTCCTACACTTAAAGAATCAGAATGTCTGTGAGCAGAACCTAGAGTCTGTGTTTTTAACAAGTTCCTCCCAAAGTGAGAATCACACTAAATTTCAAGAATTAGTGTTAGAGTTTTCTTGCCAATGTTTAATGGCAACGGTTGCTTTCCCCAGGAACATTTAAAAAGTACCCCTTCCCCCCCGCGCCATGCTCACTGCTCTGATCACTTCCCCTCTGGCACCAGAATTGGCTTCATCTCTTAGCTGTGGCCAGGGAGCCCCTCATGAACTGCTTCTACAAGCAAACCAAGATACCATCTACAAGCAGAGTTGAGGCAGTTTTGGAGCACAGGGCCAAGAGATGCCTTCTTCTATGGGATACTCCCACCACCCTCTCTTCCAGCCACCTCCTCATCAAGTAAGGAGATGAGGTTTCAGGCAGATAATTGGGAATGCACCCCAAGGGACAGAAGGCCTGAGAAGGAACAGAGCTAGAATGCCGAATGGAAAGCTATCCCCTCAACATAGTTAAACACTCATATTTGATTATTTTAGTTCTAAAGCTGATAATTTGGCAGTCAAGTGTATGGCAGAACCCAGGCCCCTTGCTGTATATTGTTAAAACTTTCGTCTACAAACCTGTATAATGCTCCTGTAATCTCTGTATCCATAAAATCCCCAACATTTCAGTATTTTCATGTTTATTGAAGAAAAACGGGAGAGTTTGAGAAGTTCAAAGCAAGGCTAAGGAGTCAGCCACACCTGACACTTTCTATGTGTCCCCATGTCAAATCCTAGCTTTGCCATTTACTACCTAGGTGACTTTGAGCTGCATCCTTGACCCTGTAAGCTTCAGTTTCCTTCCTTGGAAAATGAGGAAAATAGTACCTGCCTCATAGGAGTTGTTTTGGGAATTATATAATATAAAAATTAGTGACATAATAATTGTCACTCAGTATATACTCAATATATGTACTTTTAATTTATTATAGTAACTTTTTAAAATTTCTTTTTTAGCCCTGGAGAGTTGCTGTGGAAGAGGGATAAGAGAGGAAGACAACGCAGGAGGAGATAAGTCACTCTGGACGCAAGGGAAGGTCACACCACTAAATAGTAATTATTAAGCAGAGGGGAAAGGGACAAGGGAAGGATGCAGACTGCGGCCCTGATAGTAACCTAGGTTTCCCCATGTATCACCACTCTTGGCATCTCACCTTTGCAGTTTTTGAAGGGATGAGATTTCTATCTCTGACCCCAAAGAAATAGATCCAGAATCCAACTCCAAATTTGCCTTTTTCAGAGAAGTGTATGCCATCAAAACATGGCATTGTGATGAGAGAGACCACTGCCCCCCTGACTTTGAAAAATACCTTTACTTTCTAGAGCTCTTCTACTTTTCAAAGTACTTTGTCTCTCATTAGCTCACTTTTTCCTTACAGTCCTGTAAAATATCAACATTAGTAGACAGACAGACCCCTATGAGGCCTGTCAAATCTTTCTCTTCTCCCCACCTCCATTCTCTTGGAAACCTATTGCAAGACTAATCTTTGCTATCTTTACATCATTTTTCTTAAAATCAAAAGCCTTTCATCACTTTCTGTGTGTCCCCATGTCAAAGTGAACCTCCTCTGCCTGGTCTATATGGTGGCCTTAAAAACAGTGTCCCATCCTACTGTAAATATATTCTCCCTGTGGTTCCTACAACATGCCCTATTCACTCACCACTGGGCCTTAGCCCATATTGCTTGCCTCATTAGTGATGCCTCCTTTTGAACCACCTAGATTCTACCCATTCTTCAATTTCCAACTCCTTCTTGGAGCCTTCCCAGATCATCAATTCCTTAAAGATTCCATCTTGTTCTGAACTCTGGTGGTAGCCACAGCTATTTGGTCAATTATAACCTGGTCTTAAAGTCCTAAAGAAGAAAAAGTATAGCATAATTTGATATAGAGAAGAAAGCACCAGACTAATAAGTTTTAAAGACTTGATGTCTACTAAAGAGCTGTGGGAGCAAAGCCAATTTGCTCTACCTTTGTGGTTCTACATTTTCTGAGCTGTGATTCTAGAAAGGTTTGGGTCAGATGACAGTGGTCCCTTCTAATTCTGAGGCTCTGAGACAACCTGGCCTTCCTTATGTGGGATAGAACTCTTACTGAGTTCTTGGATGAAAATATCAGGAATGGACACTCAGTGCCTTCAGGACTTGTTCTATCCTACAGATCTCTAATGCTAAACTTGGCAATTTTTGAATGCCATGTACCTTTTTTGGTAAGCTTTTTAACCATAAGCATCAGAGAAGGTTAGTGGGGGTGAATTAGGTAGCAGGATGATGCATTAAAAAAAAAAAGTTATCTTGTGAATGACTTCCTATGATGGAATAAATAGGATCAGTTATTAGATAAACCTTAAGTCTTAGCATGTAAAATTTTACATTGCATCTTCATTGGATAGTGCTATATGTTAAATACAGTTATATTTTCTTTTTATTATTTCATAAATTGAAAAACATTAAAATAGTCAAACTCTAGGATAGACACTAGATGACTTTCCATAGTAATCTGGTTGGTGACATGTAAATTTGCATCTGTATGTATATGTATCATATGCACATTACACTTAAATTAAGAAGAGTATCCCTAAATTATGAGGTGCTATTATACATTGACCAGATTTAATAAGAATATCTCTTTAAAATGTGTTGACATTTAATTGACCTTTGAAAGTTCATTCTGTTAATCATACTCAAAGTGCTAAAGCTATGGTTGACTGCTCTGGTGTTTTTACATTCAGTCGTGCTTGGCATATAAATTCTTCAGCATAATTGCTACTTATTTAGCAAGAGTTTCCTTTCTTTGAAAATATGAGTTGTGTTTTATTTTTGCATCTTTTTTTTTAAAACTTTGCTTCAGGCTGGATAGTGTTAGAGGTTTGAATTGAAATGCTTTCCTGTCATTAGTTGTATGGGGTGTGGCTTCTTAATATAGGAGTAATGGAAATTTCTTGCTTAGTGGGGAAGTCTGCTTTTCTTCTGGCAAAAGTTTGAGGTATGCTGCTAAAATTTAGAGAAGCTTAACACCTCAACACTACATACTTTTAACATAATAAACTTTTCAAAATCTTTCAATTCCATTTGTGTAGATTAAAACTATCAATACTAATACTTCTTATTAAACAAGGATTCAAAGGATTTGTTTTCATAGAAAACTAATTATATTCCTTGAATTGCTATGAGTGGAATTTAATTTTACTGTAAACGATGTACATGTTTTTAAAAAGTCACATATGTTTCTTTTTTAAAGCTTAACATTATTACTATCACCTAGAGAACATCTGCTGAATTGTTTAAAAATTTCTGGATATTAAATTTATGAAATCAGTCTATGGAAATAATTTTTAATATGCTTAGCTGTCATATAGGCTTCTAAATTAATATTCCTAGTGATCATGGAAAAGTGGCTACACTTTTTGCTAAATGTTAATAGAAAAATAAAAGCATATAATTTACAGTTTTTTGCTAATTTATCTTTGAGACTCCAAGTGTATTTTTAAAATATTTTTATCTTAAAAGCGGTTTTTAAATAGAGAAGATAAAGTTTAAACCAGAGTTTTTTATTTTCATGGGGTCATTTTATATCTTTCACATATGTAGCTCCATATTTGAGATATATTTTGTTCCCTGTTTAGAATAAGTTTTAATCTCATTATATCTTTTATTTATTCACATATTATAAGCATGGTAAACAGTCTGATTTCATGAAACTGACCTTATTTTCTCATCATTGTCTATCCTTCCATATTGTCCTATCTTTTGTTCTGCCTTTTTCTGTTTCTAGTTTTACAACTTACAGCTGTCCTTTTCATCTCATTATAGCCCCACCTCCAAGGGAAAATAAGTTCTTTTGCCTTAGTCCAAATATTTAACTTGAAATTCTATCCTTTTTTAGAATATACAATGAAGGCTCTTAAATAATATTACCTAAATAATGCATAAAAAATTCAAATGACTACAGTGCTGAATAGTCAGATATAGGATATTTCAGACTAAGGGTGAACTCTCACACTTCCATTTTGTAAACTGGTTTCAACAGATAGATTTATTTCTTCCTTGGTAATCAAGTATCTCAAGACCAGGCCAGAATTGGTTAAATACAAAATGTTTAGATAAAGCCTGGTTCCTTGGGTAATCACTCTTAGTAATTCAACTGGATTGATGACACATACTGACAAAATCAAGACATTTGTTCTTCTTTTCTGTTTGAAGTCTATTTTACCATCATACAGAGTTTTTTGTCATTTAAATCTATATGTATTCACAGATTATTTTATTTTCATTTTATTTAACAAATTTTTATATAATTCTTTCATTTACCAAACACTATTCTAAACACTTTACAATATTAGTTTCTTTAATTATCTTGACTCTATAGTTATGGTTATTACTATATAATTATAGTTATCATTGTGCAGTTGAGAAAACACAGAGTTTTATTTTATGGTAGGCCTTAAGTGAGGGGAGACTGGTAAGTGTAGGCAGAGTGGATAACTTATCAGTAGTGCTAAGAATCAACAAAAAGATGTACAAGAATTTTGGGAAGATGAGTCTACATGGAAAGGGTCAGGGACTTAAAAGCAGTATGTCTTCCTTCCTCAATTTTAAGCTTTGGGCTATAGAATCAAAAGCCAAACTTAGAGGAGACACTCCTCAGTCCTGGGAAGTGATCATTGCATCAAAAGTGACCATTGCCATGGGTTTCATCTGCATGGTGAGGTGGGCTGTACTGGTTCATTGTGATTTTCATAGGGTTGTATGGACCTTTATGCCTTCCCTTATCCTTAGCATTTCTCGGGACAAGCTTCTTTCTTCCTACAGAGTTTGGCTTCTCTATCAGCTGGAAGTTTGGGCATTGCAGATACAAATGGCAAATTTTTTTCCCAGCCTTAACCCCAGCCCACTCCAGTCTTTCTTCTTGTCCTAATTTGTGCATTACTTTGAAAATATTATTCATACTGTTTACATGTGTGTGTTGTATGAAGTTTAGGGGCTGATGTTAAGCAATGAGATTAAAGGACGAAGTTATCTTTTCTGTTGAAATTGGGGATGGAAGAAGAGGAGAGAACAGCTGAACACAGGAAATATGAGAAAGGAGAAACATCATGGAAAAGAAGAGATATGTGGAGGAAAAAAAGATGGTGAAAAAATGAGGAAAGCAAATTACTGATTTGCTTCACACCCACACCTCCTCCCCAACTTCACGGTAACAGAGGCAATTTCTCTCTCTTTTGCCTGACATGAGGTTCACCAGGAAGTTATGCGCCGTGGGAGTGGAACATTTCTCCCTTTTGCATTTTGAGACTTGGGTGTGCTGCTTTGAGATGCCACTGGTATCTAAGTAATATTTGTTTATACTGGATATTTTTCTCTGTAGCCTTTGTGGATAGGGCTTAGAATACAAACAATACTGTTAGCAGAACTGTAGGTACTCGATTGCTATGTTTATTTTATTAGTTAAAAAACTGCCAGAGCCCTAGGACTTCTGAGCACATTTAAAAAATACCAGAGGCAATTTTAAGAAGTGCTTTAGAAAGAAAAAATAAGGAAAGTTAGGACTTTCAGGCTCTAGAATGCCAACTAATGTTGGTAGGTTTCTTTTAAATTAATGTCTTCAAAAACTCTAAATTAGGATAGTTTCATTAGTTATTTTTTAAAGTGAGTTTAAATTACTCTTCTTGTATATAAATCTTTTCTTGGTAGATAGCTTAGGTAGAATAAAAGTGTGGCACTTTTGTTGCACAGAATGTAAAACTAAGGTTAATTCTTTGGGGAATTTAGGATTTTTTGGTTGCTGCTTAAACCAAAAATGACTTTTTTTTTTTTGTCAGATCGCAGGTCCAAAAGTATTTCTTACTGATTTACAATTGTATTGGGACAGAATCACTGAAATTGTGATGTTCCCAGAAAATCTAAAATATGGTCACTTTTACCCTTAAACTTTCTGAAAATTCAATTTACAGTCCCCTGAAATCTCTCTCTTTATCCTGCTCTCTGTAGAAAGTTACATTATTTAGTAGCATTAATGAAAAACACCCAGTTTAAAAAATATTGTATTAATCAAATGATAAAAGTATTGATTTGAAGAAATTAATTTAATTTTAATTGGTTATTCATTTCTCAGGTAGAGGACTCTGGTCTTAACAGGTTTGATTCAGTCCCCATCGGTAAAACAAAGTCAAAATTTTTTTTTTTTCCTCAGTCATTGCATGGGAGTAACATATTGTTCAGACATTTCAAGAATCACTAACAAATTACCCTTTTGGAATAGAAAGGGAGAAAAGGGACTCTTCTTTCTCATTTGTTCTTTTTCATTTTATCCTTTCCTATTCATGGAAATTTTTACTTTCCTCCACTGCTCATCAAAAGTTTCCCGTTTGTACATCCTAGATTACTACCATACTAAGTTTTCTTAAAATTAGGCAGAAACAGACCCTGGCACTTTAAAAGCTAATGGAAACCATCCCATGTTTTCTCAGACTCTCCTCCCCAGATGCAAAAGGAGCAAAACAGTACTTGGTGGTTTGTCATTGTTGCTTCCGTGGCTGTCCTGTTTTGTTGACCTAAGCTTTTTTTACCTTCATTCTTAATGCTGAAATCTACAAATGAAATTAGGGCCAGTCACACTGTATTTCCCTCATCAGCTATCTCTAGTGGTTCAAATTTAGCACAAATCTACTGTGACCACATATTAATTAGGCTAATAGAATAGGATGAAATGATAACATGAGTTTTTCAATAACTGTATTTTGAATTGAACTGTGGTTTTATCTTAGGAGTTTGCAGTTATTTTGTTGGAAATCTAGAAAATCCTTATGTGAGCAACTAAGCTACTGATAACCCCAAACAGTGTAAGTTAAACATTAACTTGCAATGAAGTGCTGAAAGTGTCTTTGATTTTGAGATGCAGTGAGCTATTTCAAATTAAGTTGCCCATTTCTACATGGAATGGTGTGGAGGTCTTGAAACCTGATTTCAAGGTTGGACTCTGAATAAGAATTTTTTTTGTCCCTGTCACTGTCTATGGCATGTCACTGTCACAGGCATAAGGTGAATGAGCCTCTATTCTTTTGCTCTTTATAACCCAATTCCCATGCCAGACAGTATTGGAGATAATTAAGTTCTTCTATAGAAAGCTTCATAAGTCATCTACTAACTACTGTGTCTGTAAATATACTCTCAAACTATTTTGTAGTCCTGCTATTTTTAAAAAATGTGTGGGTGTGGGAAGTGATGGTGAATGAAGTCAGGGTAATTGGTGCTTCTTTGTATCAAGAAAAATCACACTAGTTAAAGGAAGTCTGCTTCCATGACTTGTATATGCTTAGTTTTAAAAAATTCTTCTAACCCTCTCCCATTTCAGTTCCTACCCTTACCTCATAAATTAAAGCAATGAAGGAATTAGAGTCATAGGATTTTATAGCTGTAAGGATTTTAGAGAGAATCTGATTAACTCTCTTATTACACTTGAGGAAATTGATGTTCAGTGAGGTCAAATGAGATCATGTAGCTGTTTAAAAGCCCACATGACATTAATAGTTTATTTCCATTAGTAAACACTGTTCTGATTAATCTCCCTTAACGTATTTATAATCAGAAGGAAATAATAAGGAAAAATAACTAACATGTATATGGTACTTTCTCATATATATCTGTCACTTCTCAGAAGAGCTCTGTAAGGTATAGGTACTATAGTTTCCATCCACAGAGCAAAAGGGCTCAGCAGTGTTCAGAGATTCGTCCATGCCAGTCTCTATCAAAAGGGCCCAGGGCTCCCTGTTCCCACCTTGGCAGAAGCATCAGCTGGTCTCAAGACAGTTCTCATATCTTTGTACTATAGCTTTGGCTCTAAGTTTATGGTCCAATTATTAACTTTCATCTATTTCATCACTTTTAAAGAGGAAAAAAAATTTTTTTGAAGAGCTATGAGCTTATAAATTTTTCAAAAGAAAGATGCTGGATAATTGTAAATAAGGTGTGTTTTAAGAATCTCTTTATCGACATTTTAAAAATCCAGCCAGTATATATTGAGTACCTTACTATTTATAAGGCACACGATGGGCTGCTCCAGTAGACACTATAGTGATTGAGGCAGAATCATGGCTTTCAGGGAAAAGGCTCATGCAATTGTCTTGCCTTTCAAAGATTTACCTAGATAGAGAACTATTCTTGAGAAATGTCTGATACTGTCTATATTACTCTTGAGATAAGAGAGCCACTACAGTTGACCCTGAACAATGTGGGGTTTAGGGGTGCCAATCCCCCGCACAGTCAGAACTCTGTGTACACCTTACTTTACTAATAGCCTGTTGACCAGAAGTCTTAATGATAATACAAACAGGCAGTTAACACATATTTTATATGTTATATGTATTATATACTATATTCTTACAATAAAGTAAGCTAGAGAAAAAAGTTATTAAGAAAATCATAAGGAAGAGAAAATACGTTTTAACACTGTACTGTATTTATC